GGGCAGGCGGAGAGCCGTATTAAAGCGCCCCTGGGACGCTGCTTGCACCCATCGGCCTGGCAGAGACCACAGTGCTCTGGAGTAAGAGAACGCTTCCCAGCACCCAGTAACTCACAGGGCTCCACCTGCAGGCGGCAGGGAGCCCGGAGCCCGGCGGGTGACCAGGTACCGGCCTTTCCCCACTGAGAACATGCTTGAACAGGCTGACCTCTGAAACATCTAAAACGCTATCGTTTTAGATTTTGCTGTAAGGTGCATGCGCCCACAGGAGAGCGACTGGGAAAGTGAGAAACCGCCCCGGGGCGTGGCCACAGCAATCTGGGCTCGCCCCTCTCTTCCGGGTACCTGGCAGGCACATGGACACCTGCTGTGATTTCAAGCCTTGGGTCTGGGATTAGAACGTAGTCACCTTCCCCTCCACGCCACCTGCTAGTCCCCAAAGTGGTCCTGCTAACATTCCGATGTGTGATCTGTTGTGATTCTTTCCTTGAGACGAGACCGAGACCAGAGCAGGCTGCACTGGGACACCCGACTCACGGAGCACCCCTCTGCACAGCTGTGAAGGTGGCAGGAAAGGAACGTGATTTGTCTGTCTGCCAGTCATGGTGTCAGTATTTTTTTTTTTTTTTGGAGAGGTTTTTGCTATAGGGCATGTGCGCTCACCAGAGAGACAGAAAGACATACAGACAGAAAGCGAGAAATCACCCCCCAGGGGGGATGGCCATGCCTCAATCCCTTCTCCTCCATTCTCTCGGGATCTTGGGCACGCACGCACACACACACGCCCGGTGTGAGTTTAAGCCACCTGGTCCAGGACTTGAACCGTGGTCGACTACATGGGAGTCCAGTGACATAGCCATTACGCTAACTGCTGGTCCCAATGTTATCAGTATTTTAATAGAGACTGGTGGCCACCCGCAGAACTGTTGCTCTTTAAATTGTGGAGCGTGTCCTCGTCACCCCTATAGCCGGACCTGCTAGAGGGACAGACACGCACCCTCCCATCAGGGCCAGGGGCAGGCAGGTCTTCAGGAAGCCGAGTGGCCAGTGGATCGTGGCTCTCACCCCCACCAGTGCTCCCAGCCCCTCGTGGGCCCTGGCCCTGGCCCTCTGCCCTCTGTATGGGGCTGTCCCTGGACCACTGTTTTCTGCCTCACAGACACTCGGCCCCAGGAACCTGCTCCAGGGCCCAGCCATCTGCCATCAGTGCCACCGTCCCGACCTGTGGGGAGCTGAGGAGACGAGCGTGCAGGACGTGACCGCTAGATGGAGACCATGGTCATCGTCTGGCCCTAACCTTGGGTGTCTGAGCTGTACGTGCAGAATGTTCCAGGTATTGTCACAACAACCTGAGTCCCACGTTGAGGAAGCCAAATGTTTCTGCATAAAACAGAGCAATAAACTTACCTCGGGGCTGGCCAGTGCTGACTGTCCTCGCGTCGCCTAGAAACCTATCTAAGACACGCCTATTCCTGAGCGTGTACAAGCTTGTCGTACTTCCTCAGTAAACGAGGCGTGATCAGCACCTCGTCTTGTCTCCATTCTGTGTGCGTGTGTGTCCCTTCCCCCCCCAGGTGACTGTTCGACTGTCCTGTGGGTCGGGACATCGACCAAGCAGGGCCCTCACCTGGTGGCTTCAGGCCACCCAGGCAGAGGTCACCGCTTCGCACCCCAGACGTGCCCATGCAGCCCCTTTCCTGGAATCACCTGGGGCTCCGTGTGGGCAATTTGCTGCCTGGACTGACAGACCCCAGACAGGCAGCTGAGGCAGCAGCCCTTGGTAGTCCCCCACACCTCGGCCCGCACCGCCG